TAATCACAAATGCTGTTTTATTTTCCTTGCATGTTCCCCTCAGATCTGGAGCAACTGTGCTTGCAGTGCACAGCCTATTTGCCTTTAGTAAATCAACTGCTATGCATCACAAATGTCACTTTGAAGGGCATTTAACTTTTTTTTTTTTGTTTGTTTGTTTCTGCCTCTAAACTCTCCTCTATGTTAGCCTATGTGTCCAGGCATTTAGAGGCAGAAAAAAAACAGGTCTAGCATGTTCAGGAAAGGAGCTGCAAAAAAAAAAAAATGCCTGACTTGTTGTAAATGCATCTAACTGCGCTTAAGCATTAGGTGTGTTTTATCTCTTAGGCATTCATTCATTTCAGTGGCTACAATAAATTAATATTCTGGCCAATGAAATGAATGAACGCCAAAACACTTGACACACCAGTACTATAAAATAAACATTGTTAAAATTCTTTATCCCAGCATTTTCAATTTACATCATTTTCAATACTGCTGGCTCCTGCTCTCTCAGTGCTGCATCCCTGAACATCTGGTCTTCACAAGAGTTATTGTGAACAGCGCAGTCTGCGGTCAGTTATCTTGGTTGAGGGAGGAGGAGTGGAGTTACTTGCCATCCTTGGCTATGGGGCTGTGTGTTTCTTTTGATGAACATAGTGTAGGTGAGACATAACTCTAGTCCCTACATTCAAGGGTGGCTCCATAGAATGCTGCAAGAGAAAGGAGCCACCTTGAAACAGAGAATCCAGGATGGTGGTCATGACCCTAGCTTAAACTAGAACATAGGCAAGAATTGAAAGACAAAGAAAGTATTTTTATTTTATCTATTTTTTTCAATTACTTATATAGTGCCATCAATTTACGCAGCGCTTTACATATATATTGTACATTCACATCAGTCCCTAACCCTCAAGGGGCGTACAATCTAAGGTCCCTAACTCACATTCATACATACAGATATTAGGGCCAATATAGACAGGAGCCAATCAACCTACCAGCATGTCTTTGGAGTGTGAGAGGAAACAGGAGTTACATAGTTAGTCTGGCTGAAAAAAGACAAAAGTCCATCCAGTTCAACCATTAAAAAAAAAAAAATTATAATCCTATACCCACAGTTGATCCAGAGGAAGGCAAAAAAAAACCCAGCAAAGCATGATCCAATTTGCTCCTGCAGGGGAAAAAGTTCCTTCCTGGTCCTCCAAGAGGCAATCAGATATTCCCTGGATCAACATTACCTATAAATGTTAGTATCCAGTTACAGGTGAAACTTGAAAAATTAGAATATCGTGCAAAAGTTCATTTATTTCCACACCACACACAGACGGATCCTGGACATGGGCTTCAAATGTCGTATTTCTCTTGTCAAGCCTCTCCTGAACAACAAACAACGTCAGAAGCGTCTTACCTGGGCTAAAGAAAAACAGACCTGGTCTGTTGCTCAGTGGTCCAAAGTCCTCTTTTCTGATGAGAGCAACTTTTGCATCTCATTTGGAAACCAAGGACCCAGAGTATGGAGGAAGAATGGAGAGGCACAAGGACCCCGAGTATGGAGGAAGAATGGAGAGGCACAAGGACCCCGAGTATGGAGGAAGAATGGAGAGGCACAAGGACCCGGAGTATGGAGGAAGAATGGAGAGGCACAAGGACCCGGAGTATGGAGGAAGAATGGAGAGGCACAAGGACCCCGAGTATGGAGGAAGAATGGAGAGGCACACACTGCAAGATGCTTGAAGTCCAGTGTGAAGTTTCCACAGTCTGTGTTGATTTGGGGAGCCATGTCATCTGCTGGTGTTGGCCCACTGTGCTTCATTAAGTCCAGGGTCAACGCAGCCGTCTACCAGGAGATTTTGGAGCACTTCATGCTTCCTTCCACAGACGAGCTTTATGGGGATGCTGACTTCATTTTCCAGCAGGACTTGGCACCTGCCCACACTGCCAAAAGCACCAAAACCTGGTTCAATGACCGTGAGATTACTGTGCTTGATTGTCCAGCATGACAAATCACGGCTTGAACTATCTTACTTTGCATGTAATGAGTCTATCTCATATATTAGTTTTCACCTTTTAAGTTGCATTACTGAAATAAATGAACTTTTGGACGATATTCTAATTTTTTCGAGTTTCACCTGTATATTCTGTGTATCTTGGAAAGAATCCAGGACTTTTTTTAAAGCAATCCACTGAGCTGGCCAGAACCAACTCTTGAGGGAGTCTATTCCACATTTTCACAGCTCTCTCACTGTGAAGAAACCTTTCCGTGTTTGGAGATTACATTTCTTTTTCTCCAGATGTAAAGAGTGCCCCCTTGTCCTCTGTGATGACCTCAGGGTGAATAGCTCTACACCGAGGTCACTATATGAACCACTGATGTATTTATACATGGAGATCATATCCCCCCTTATGTATTATACATGGTGATCATATCCCCCTTATGTATTATACATGGAGATCATATCCCCCCTTATGTATTATACATGGAGATCATATCCCCCCTTATGTATTATACATGGAGATCATATCCCCCCTTATGTATTATACATGGTGATCATATCCCCCCTTATGTATTATACATGGAGATCATATCCCCCCTTATGTATTATACATGGTGATCATATCCCCCCTTATGTATTATACATGGAGATCATATCCCCCCTTATGTATTATACATGGTGATCATATCCCCCCTTATGTATTATACATGGAGATCATATCCCCCCTTATGTATTATACATGGAGATCATATCCCCCCTTATGTATTATACATGGAGATCATATCCCCCCCTTATGTATTATACATGAAGATCATATCCCCCTTAATCTCTGTCACAGATGCACGATCGCCACCCTCAACATGCGACAATCGCACGACCGCGACCAACAATACATCACGCCCGCGGCATCAGACCCCAGACCTTCTCACCCAACTCGTGACCGAAGGACTGGCCGATCTAAAACCGTGGTGTGACGTGCATAACAATGCCACACTCAGCTGCGCCCTGCACAACGATTGTCCAGCTAATACAACGCAATCGACGCACCGGCAGCTTGAATGCGCTTGTTACTGGGTCGGGTTAATTACGCAACTAACCCTTCACTGCCACCACCCCTTTCTGTACAGAGAAAGGGAAAACTCTCTTTATCCAATATATACTGTAATGGTTGAAAAGTCGCCTGTCCAATGCGGTCACCGCAGGCCGATTGGGCAGAGGATTAAACAAACACAGTAGCGTCTCTTCAAAAGGCAGGAATTCGTAAATTGCAATTAAGCGCTTTAGAAACAGTTTAACACTTTCAGAAAGAAAGATTTATTACTAAAAGAATCAAACAGGTGCAATAAAATATTTACAAAGAAAATGTAACTAAGATATATATTTATATATAAAAAAGAAAACAGCTCAGCACAGCAAAGAGATAACAGGGAGAAGTTAAAAGGTTAAGTTACTTGCCATGTTCAGCCTTAAGGTAAGCAGATCCAAGTTGCAGAGCGAAGGGTCTTTGATCTCCTGCTGTTACGATGTTAAAATTAGGAGATGTGTCTAGCTTTGAGTACTGGCCAATACCTGTTTAGGGAGGGATGTCGGGCGGATTCTGAATTAAAACTGACATCTTCATAATCCATGATATGAAACATAGGTGACAACTGGATCTTTTAAAAATGTTATCCGCTTTGTGCTTCTGGGGAATGCCGTGAACTCTTGAGAAGGCCCTGTTATCTTTTCCCGAGGTGCGAAGTTACACAGGTTTTGGGACAGAGAGGCTGCTGTCTCTATGGGGGGGCTTTGTAGTTCTGGGCCCCCTGCTATTCCAGCCTGCCAGAAACTTTTAACACTTACACATCTGTCCCTGTGCTTCTCAGGAAGGGAGGGGGTAGGGAATGAAGCATTGAGGGAGAAATGTATGCTCTTATCAAATTGGATGTGCCTTGACAAAATGGTGGCACTGTGTCCATATCTGAGCGCAAGATTGCTACAATCTCTTCTCAAGAGAGAATAAATTCAGTTCCTCTAATCTTTCCTCATAGCTGATCAAGATTGCTACAATCTCTTCTCAAGAGAGAATAAATTCAGTTCCTCTAATCTTTCCTCATAGCTGATCTCCTCCATGCCTCGTATCAGTTTGGTTGCCCTTTTCTGTACTGTATCCCAGAGGAAAGCCACACAGGCACAGGGAGAACATGTAAACTCCAGGCAGGTAGTACTGTGGTTGGGATTTGAACTAACAACCCTAGTGCTGCCAGGCGGAAGTGCTAACCACCCATTTAGGGCTCGTTCACACTAGCTTTTGTCTCCAAGAGCAGTCTGTGTTCGGATCGCTCTTCAGAGAACATTTGACAAGTTGGTGAGAAGACTCCGTATCGCCTCCTCACCACCTGCTTTAGACCCTTGACAGTAGCACTCTGCAACCGTATGCATTGCATGTGGTTGTTGGGCGCTTGTAGAAGAAGCAAATGTCCTCATTGGAAGATTTCCTCCCACTTCCAGTTTTTGTGACAGCTCAAAATTTTGGCTGTTCCCACATCTTCAGTCCTGGTGACCATATTCATAGGGACAAATAAAATGAACCCTCTTAGCAGAAACACAGGCTGTAAATAAAACCCAACATGGGATCCAACCCCTCACCTCTCTGTCCAAATAAAGAAAAAAACCTTTGCCTTTACACAGGCTTTAGTTTACCCAGCTTTAGAAGACATTAATCTGACACTAGAAGAAGCAATAACAGATCTGATGTGTAATATATCCCAAATCTCTTTATCAAGACATACTGTATATTAATTACTTCCACTTTTGTATTTGATATGGCATGTTGCAAGCTGGAAATACTTCCTAAATAGTACCAGAACGATAGTCTGAGATGTGGAACATGCATAGGTATCTACGTCAAATGGCTCGGGAACACCCATGAAGAACGTTGGACCAAATATAGTAAAGTTTGGTCTGGTGTGTTCAGTTGATTGGCCCACAGCCCTCACTAAGATATAAAAGTAAGCATGACATTCATGTATGTTCCTGTCATTCCAGGTATGAAAAGCAAGATGAAAGAATTCTAAAGGTTCAACGCATTGTCAAGCACCCAAAATACAACTGGAAGGAAAATCTTGACCGAGACATCGCACTTATGCAGTTGAAACGACCTTTAATCTTCACCAGCTACATCCACCCTGTGTGCCTGCCCACCAAGGAGATCGTACAATCGTAAGGAGCCCTCTTATACCTGATATGAGCTGTCCGTCTGTTTGGCTGATCACACATGGGGAAGATGCCAGACATCTGCCTGCTCCCATATTCCTTACCCACTGCATTCATTTGTGCGGCTGTACTGTGAATGCAGTGGTTGTGTGTTAAAGGTTTTGGCATGTCCTGCTAAATGTCCTATATCTGGATGTTCACGTAAAGTGACCCTGTAAGACTATAAAACAAATCATTCTAATGGAAGAGCTGTTATATTCACCTCTTTGTTTGCTTGTGTCTCCTGCCTCTATTGCATTTCAGAGCTGCAGCCTCCATGCAGAATTCAACACTTCAGTGGTGTTGGATGGCTGTGTTCTCAGCAGCATGTTGTCCTTCCATCCTCCAATCACTACATCACTGCTGTAGGGCTAAGGGTTGGATGGAACCACAGAGCATGGTCATGGGTGCAGGCACAGGTTTTAATTACCTTACAAATATGCATGAACAAAGCAGATTAGAATTTCTAAGAGGAAACTATTACGGTTTTGGGTCATATATATATATATATATATATATATATATATATATATATATATATACAGTGCTCAGCATAAATGTGTACACTCCTTTTGAAAATGAAGATTTTAATTCTGTATCTCAATGAACGCTAAAAGAATTTCCAAAATTTTACCAAAACTGAGTTTTACAGAACATTTGATTTAGCTCATATAACTTAGATCACAAAATCTTCAGTTTTGCTCAGATTGTAAAAATGAATACACCCCACAACAAAAACTACTCCATCTAGTATTTTGTATAACCTCCATGATTTGTAAGGACAGCACCAAGTCTTCTAGGTATGGAATGAACAAGTTGGCAACATATTGCAACATCTATCTTTTTCAATTCTTCATGAACGACCTCTTTTAGAGCCTGGATGCTGGATGGAGAGCGATGCTAAACTTGTCTCTTCAGAATTCTCCATAGGTGTTCGATTGGGTTCAAATCAGGAGACATACTTGGCCACTGAATCACTTTCACCCTGTTCCTCTTCAGAAATGGAACAGTGGCCTTAGATGTGTGTTTTGGATCATTGTCATGTTGGAAAAGTGCACGACGACCAAGGGCACGAACAGGGGCGGACTGACAACTCATGGGGCCCCCGGGCAATAGGGGATCATGGGGCCCCTGTGTCCTTGCCTAAGCTCAAAAATGCCTATGAAAAAGGTACCAGGGGCATCTCATGGGGCCCCCTACTGACCCTGGGCCCTCGGGCAGTGCCCGAGTTTACAAATGGGCAGTCCGCCCCTGGGCACAAAGTGATGGTAGCATCTTCTCTTTCAATATAGAGCAGTACATCTAGCCATATTTTTTTGAAACTTGCAGGGGCACCCTCTATTAGCGTAGGTGGTTTGATACAGAGACAAATTGGAGTTCCCCAATCGCATCCACAAATGTACTGTGGGAGGAGAGGCTTTCTTCCAGCACACTGTAATTGCCTTACGGCATAAAATAGCAAAAGGCTCATGAGAGTATGTTTAGCCACTGTGTGGGTCAATGATTCCACCAGCCCCAGCAGAAAATATTGCAGCTCAAGGGGTACTATGATCTGTATTTTCAATAATTTGTAACATAACCTGCCAATACAGCCCTATAGCAGGGCATGAGCAAAATAATGTGTGAAAATTCACCTGATTGAGGGGCATGGCTTGGCCGTCCATGTGAGCGGTAGTGTTCCCGTACAGCTCTGGCAGAATCCTGATCGTTATCCTGAAAGGAGACCTTCCCACTCATTGTACCTAATAGGGACATGGACGATCTTGTTACCGGCTACATCCTGTCACCGCCGCTACAAAACAAAAGGAGGAGGGAGTTGCTGCAGCGTTGCCTTCTCAACACGGGGGGGATACACTTTCTCAACAGCCCTCTAAAGACCGCCAGAAAGATGTAGCAGCTAAACTGGGCAAATTCGCCCACACTGCCAACAAGGAGAGATCTCCACCACCTATCCAGCAAGATGAAGGGAGGAAACTAGCAGGTGCGGGGGTTATCCACCAGCTAAGAGCCAGATGGCCTTGGCATTGCCCTCTCCAGCTCCTGAAACAGTGAGTGTAAGTCATTCCTCAATCTCTAATGCCAGCCAGGCAGATGACTCAAATTTTCCAGAGCCATCTCTCAAGATAATATTAGCATACATATGGCACTTCCCTAACCCAGCTCAGGGTGGAATTTAAGAGTACGAAAGAAAATATCCTGTTTATCCACCATGAAATGCAGAAAATCAGAGAAAGGGCCACCGCTCTGGAGGGTAGAGTAAGCACCATTGAGGATGATTTTCCTTCTCTCCAACAAGATGTTCACTCTAATACTGACCTCAGAGCACTCTGCCAGAATAGACGAAATGAAGAATAGTCTTCGCAGAAATAATCTCCGTTTGGTTGGCTTACCGGAGAAGGCGGAGGGTAAGAACCCTGTAACATGTATTGAGAATTGGATCCTAACTACTTTCAGTAAAGATAATCTTACCCCTTTCTTTTCTGTGGAAAGAGCCCACAGAGTGCCATCTTGTCCTCCACCACCAGGGAATCCAGACAGACCCTTCTTGCTGAAACTCCTACACTATAAGGACAGAGACATTATCCTTAGACTCGCCCCCTGGCAACAATAGAACATGCAAATCCATGGTGGGAAAATATCTATCTTTCCGGATTTCTCTGAATTTCAGCGTAAGCGAGCTAGATTCGCGGAAGTTAAGACGACTGCAAGCAATCCACTTGCCACTCTAGTTCTTTCTCTTCCCTATTTCGTATAGATTTAGCATTGGACGTGTGATTTCGTGCCTTTACCACACTGCACTTGGAGTGAAAAAGCCCTAAAAAAAAAGTAGGTTGTAAATCTAAATCCCCCTCCTAGCACACACCCTCCCAAATCCCCCCTCCTAGCACAACTACCCCCCATCCCCTTTCTAGCATAAATTCTGTCACTACAGGAGTAGTCACAGCAGAAGAGAGGAGAAGGAAGCCAAGAGGAGGTGTGAGTTGTGCTCTCTCTCTCCTCCCTTCACAGCTCCTCTTCCTCTTATACATTTGGATCCTAGGGTGACCCTTTGTTAACTCCTGTGTTAGAGGACCGAGTGAACACTGTTAACTCCTGTGTTAGAGGACTGAGTGAACACTGTTAACCTCTGTGTTCAGAGGAGGTAGAGAGCTCAACTTGCACCTCCTCCTGACTCTCTCCTCTCTGTATTATTGCCAGCAAAACTGAAAGCTGGCTGCCTGACCTGTCTTTAGCAACCAATGATGTGGTCAGGCGGGTTGAGCTCTCTGCCTCCTCTGTACACGGGAGTTAGCATTGCTTGTTCCCTCGTCTATCAAAGGAGTTGACAGAAGATCGGGCTGCTGCTGCGCACCCCTGAGGACTCTTGACGACACCCCAGTTAAAAAAAAAAAACAAAACACTGGTCTAATGAGACCAAAATGGAACTTGGCAATTAAAACCATAAGTCTTACAGTGTATATCCTCATAAACACACCATCCCCACTGTGAAGCATAGCGGTGGGAGCACCAGGCTGTGCTGATGCTTCTTTGCAGGTGTCCTTCAAGGGCCTATGAGTGTAAGGAGTAGATTGAATAAAGGGATATCCTGACACAAGAAACCTGAGCTACGGGAGATTTGTAAAACAAGAAATCAGAGAAAGGAGCACACTTCCCATAGTGTAGCATGCATAAGAAGTTTAATGGACAAAATAAAATCAATGGTTGCACTCACGAACAACTGTGGGGTATAGAGGCTTGTCAGGTGGCTTGGAGGATAAGTCCAGAGTCAGTGTACGAGTTATCCCAGATCTCCGCCCTGGCCACTGACTGGGGAAAAGCATGGGCTGAAGTAAATGACAGTGCCGGCAGAGATGGATGGAGCTGCTGCAAGGTCTAGAGTTCAGGATCTGAAAGCCTCCTGCGGTCACCACTGTGTACCCCAATATACAGGGACACATTTTGAAGAAATCCTGATATTCTTGATAAAGAAGCAGGATTGCTTTAAAAAAAAAAAAAGCTGAGAATTACTGTTTGCTTACTATCCCCATACAACATGACAGAGCTTGAACAGTTTTGTGAAGAGGAATGGGGAAACATTGCAGTATTATGGGGAACATCTGATAAGGACCTCTCTACATAGACTCAGTTATAGCTGCTTGAAAAGTTGAATCCATGAAATAACTTGAGGAGATATATACTTACACAGCCGGGGATTTTGTGTTTTTCATTGTAAATAATTGAAATCACCTGGTACAGATCTGGTCTCACTTTTACATAAGAGACATTTTTTTCCATTCCCAGGTGAATACATAACAGGCACTGTGTAAGAAGATGCTTCTCTTACGAAAGGCTTTGATAGGTTTTATTAATATGATGTATAACATTTATATGGTCTCTCTGCAGACTTTTTCAGGCAGGATACAAAGGTCGAGTGACAGGTTGGGGGAATCTTCAGGAAAACTGGAGCACTGGAGGTCCTAAGCTCCCACAGGTCCTACAGCAGATTAACCTTCCCATTGTGGAGCAGGAGAGGTGCAAATCCTCCACCAAGGTCAAGGTCACAGATAACATGTTCTGTGCAGGTAAGATGAATGGACATAACTAGAACAATGGACCGAGCTTCAAGGGGTTGAAAAACCGCATGTCATTAAGCGCTTCTTCACACAAACAATTGATTTGCACTTACCGCCCCCCACCTGCTACCCCCTTTATTTGCAGAGCAGTGGCCAGGGGTGTACACATGCTTCCTGGCTATGGCAGGAATTACACTGCCTATAATGACAAGTGAATAGGGGTGCTATGCAATCCTGCAACCAGGTGCAATGCACACAGTTTCGGCGCTATAGTGTGGGGTTCAAGCAGGCAGTGTGAAGATACAATGCCTCCTTATCACTTATCAAATGCTAGTGTGAATGAGGGAGAGGGGGGGGGGGAGAGAGAGAGAGAGAGAGAGGAGGGGAAAGAGGGGTGAGAGAGAAAAAGGGGGTGAGGGAGAGGGGGGGGTGAGAGAGAGGGGAGGAGAGGTGGAGAGAGGGGGGGGTGAGAGAGAGGGGAGGAGAGGTGAGAGAGAGGTGGAGAGGGAGGAGAGGTGAGAGAAAAGAGGGGGGTGAGAGAGAGGGGGGTGAGGGGGGGGGAGGAGAGATAGAGGGGGGAGGAGAGAGAGGAGAAGAGGGGGGAAAGGGGGGAGAGAGAGCCTACATACCAACAGTAATACTCAAGGAACAGAGCATGCTGGGTCATTGTAAAGTGGAGTAATATGGCCAAATACCAAGTGCACATACTTGCTGCCATTACTGTGCTCAGACACTTTTCCTTGTATACGTCTATCTGCCCAGAATCCAGGGGAAATGACAGCAGCAACACTTAATCATTTTATCGTTCTTGTCAGGTTACAAGCCAGAAGACAACAAAAGAGGAGATGCTTGTGAAGGAGACAGCGGTGGTCCTTTTACTATGAAGGTAAGGCTCATTAGAAGTTTCACCAGAAGCACAATTACATCAAAGTGTACTCAAACCCCTGCTTTCTATTCCTTACATGTGGTGGCTGCATTGTTTTTTTTTTTTTTTTTTTTATTTTCACCTAGTGAACTGATGAATAACACTTCCAGTCCCTTCATGTCTACACATTTTTCCACTGTATCTCTGGGGACAGCTATAGTTTTCACACAGGCTGGACTTCAGACATTTATTTTATTTATTTCAGGTACTTATATAGCGCTGTCAATTTACACAGCACTTTACATATATATTGTACATTCACATCAGTCCCTAACCCTCAAGGGGCGTACAATCTAAGGTCCCTAACTCACATTCATACATACAGATACTAGGGCCAATTTAGACAGGATCCAATTAACCTACCAGCATGTCTTTGGAGTTTGGGAGGAAACCGGAGTACCCAGAGGAAACCCACGCAGGCACAGGGAGAACATGCAAACTCCAGGCAGGTGGTTCCGTGGTTGGACATGTCTGTCTTTTTTTTTTTTTAATCTCCATTACATGGTGAATGGGACAATTAGCTTATCCAATAAAGTTATTTGCACTTTGTTCTAAGAGAAGTTTTTTTTTCCCAAATTATACTTACCTAGGTGGATGCAGCATCTGTCCCCCCCCCGCTGGCTTTAAGTGTGAGAACTCAGTGATCACATGACCACTGACTTCTCACAGCCGCTGTGAGCAGAGATCGATGACTGTCAGTCACCGCTGTCTGCTCTGCCCCCCCAGCGCTCACTGGAGGTCTTGGCTGTGGAGGGGGAGGGAGCGGCTGGCTCAGGTTCTGAGCCAGACTCAGGCAGATCCCATCTTTAAAGTCGGGATCTTTCCCCAGCCTGGACCCTTGAGCCTGCTGTCAGCTGAAAACAGGTCACAGCAGTGCTGGACGAACTGCACTCGTGTGATTCACAGAAGAAGTACAGCCAAAAGAGCTTTGGCTTTACAGCTCACAGGAAGTGACAAGGGCATTGCAGATCTGGGAAAATCAACAGGTATTTTGTGTAATCTCTAGAAATGTTCTCAGGCAGAAAAATGAATACTAATACAGCCACCACATCTAAGGACTGGTAAGCGTCAATCAATTACATTTTTGAATTTAGATATGCTATAAAGTGGAACTTGAATTAAATAAATGTATCTGAGCACCACAAGCCAAAAACATTTTCAATTTTCAAAGCAAACTCACCTGTCTATACTGTATGTCTCTATGCTTTATTTTGGCTGGACGGGAGCAGTGCAGGGCGGGTTGCCGTTCATAAACAGCACCCACATTTTAAGCCTGGGAGCGCGCAGAACACGGATTGCTGTACGGGACCTCTGTGTGAGGTCCCGATCATGTGATCACTGGCCAATCAGTGATCACATGAATAGTAGTAAGCAAGATGTCACTTCTAACATCATTGCTTACTACATGTGAAATCTGTGAATGATCACAGAGATTACATGGTACAAGGCTATTCACAACAGCCTTGTACCATGTGACAAGCTGTGACCAATCACAGCTCTCACAGTATTTCTCAATGCCTGCAAGAATGCAGTCAGAGAGAAGGAGAAATGATTGCTTTTACATCCATAAAGGCTATAAAAGCAATCAGTGTAGAAAAAAAAAAAAAAAAGTGGTGGCACTGTACTGCTAGGGTTACAGTATGTTTAAAAAAAAAAACCCAAAATTAGTTTAACCAAAAACTATAATTTTTTCATATTTTTTTGTAACTAAAAAGATAGATGAATACATTTTGGGAAAGATTTATGAAGAAAGATTTGCAAAATTTTATAAGAAAAACACTTTTTTTCAAAACTGACTTTTTCATTTATTATATAGCGAAAAAAAAAAAAAAAAAAAATCCCAGTGGTGAATAAATACCACCAAAATAAAGTTTTATTGGTCTCAAAAAAATGCTAAAATAATTCATATGGGTACAGTGTTGCATGACCACACAGTTGTCAAAGTGTGACAGCTCTGAAAGCTGAAAATGGTCCTGGATAGGAAGGGGGTAAAGGTGTCTGGACTTGAAGTGGTTAAAAACACTCCCTTAGCATTTTTTTTTGGCTGTGGCCATTATGAGTAATGGGCAGATGATACATGTAGCATTTACTTCCTGAAATCCATCTGCCTTTAGCTCAGGCATACAGACAGGAGTGTGTGCTTCGTTGGAAGCTCCACTTCCCCTCCTTCAGATGAAAAAATTAAAAATGCCCACGTAGACTCATTTATTAATGATTAATGTATGACATGATTTTGGCCTATGCCACAAACCAGAAAGCAACTGAAGAAATCTAAAACAAAGTACAAAACAAGTAAATATATTCTACTTTCTTCTCTATCGTTGGGGTACACATCTCCACATCTTTTGGGAATGTGCTGTAATTTGTCCATACTGGCAGCAAGTCCTGCAATTTATAAATTCACACATTTCCCTGTCAGGTTAAGAATTACTTATAAAGTTATCAGACTCCTCTCTCAAATTAAATACCGTAGATCTCTACTTAACCTCTTGGCGACCGGCTGCATGCAAACGTGCGGCCTCCCGGCATCTGGGTCTAGACGCCGAGCGGGTGCACATTTGTGTGCAATTAAGAAAAACATATGTGCTGAGAGCGCCAATGCATGGAAGGTTGTGAAGCCTCTAGCACAAGGCAGGGGAAGCCCGACCGATAGTGTAACAAAAAGCGCACCAACATTGCGCATTGCCGCATTAAAACTGATTTTATTGAATAAAGAAGAATACTCACAAATGAAGTATAACAAGCATTAAAGGTCCTCAGAGGAACTTGGGAGAGTAGAACCAGTGCAAGTCACATCACAAGGGTAGACTCTCAAAGTGATGCGTTTTGAAGGGGGTCCCTTCTTCATAAGATTGGTTTCTATTCAGAAGTGAGCCTAATTTTGCACCATCACAGCCATCACTTCTGATAGATTTGCACTTTAACCACTTCCAGACCGGACACTTTTACCCCCTTCCTGACCAGGGCAATTTTCAGCTTTTAGTGCTCGCTCCCAGCTTTTACTTTTGAGTGTAGTACTACTCGCCTATAGTCAACATTACTCATGTCTTTACTTAGGAACTTGTGACGCTTGTGGAATGAGAATTTTGCTTTAGATTTACCAAAAACCATATAATATGAGGTCAAACCTAAACTTTCAATTGCATCCAATTAGGCAGGCCCTTGCACTACGTAGTTGAAGGTAAATCCAAAAGAAATTGGGCAGAAAATTGCATAGTGTATGGCCAGCCTTACCCTTTGGACCACTGAGATTGCACCTGTTAGCACAGTATCAGTCCTGACAGATGACATGATCTTATTATACTTTTCGCTTGGGATGTAATTTTTCTTTTTTTTGACACACAAGCTATTTAACGCTTATATTTCTGTTCATTCAGAAATACAAATAAAACGAAAAACTACAAGCCCACAGCCGCAAAGGCTGCCAGGACTTGCAGGTCATTTATTCACGGAAGTCTATGAATGAATGATGCAGCCGCGTGGGTGGAGTCTCACGGTTTTCAAATCTGATAGAGTACGGGGAGAAGTTTCCCAGTATTATCTATCACAGGGAGCGGGGCGGCCGGCGCGGCTGCAACTATGGGAACATGTCACATGTTCCACCCTAAAACCAGGAACATGTGACCTAATCCCCTAAAGTTCCCATTTATCCAAGTCATAGTATAGTTAAAAATAGACATTCAACTGGATTTGATCTGTAAATTTTTCCCAAGGAAGACCAAGAAAAACCTGATTGATGTTCAGCTATATTTTACACACTTATGGAAGGAATCTTCTAGTTACTTTTAATTCTAAAATTTTGGGGATTGTGGTTAATCACTTCCCGACCGGCTGTTGCATATAAACGACCGGACGGTTGCAGTGCAGGGTTGGGTGGCCATTTATAAACGGCCTCCCCCCACACCCTGCTTGTGTACGCTCCCTGGGAGCGCGCAGCACCGCGATCCGGTGCCCGCTGTGTCCTCCGGACACAGTGAAACACCGATCGTCGGACGGGACCTCTGTACGAGGTCCCGATCATGTGATCACTGATTTGCCAATCAGTGATCACATGCAAAGTAGTAAGCAAGATGTCACTTGTGACATCATTGCTTACGATGTGTGAAATCTATGAATGATCACAGAGGTCACATGGTACAAGGCTATTCACAAAAGCCTTGTACCATGTGACAAGCTGTGACCAATCACAGCTCACTCAGTACTTCTCAATGAGTGCAAGAATGCAGACAGAGAAAGAAATGATTGCTTTTACATCCTATATGGGTGTAAAAGCAATCAGTGTAAAAAAAAAAAAAAAAAAAATCTTCATCACCCCCCCACAAGTAGTACAGTGTCACCATGGTGACACTGTACTGCTAGGGTGACAGTATGTAAAAAAAAATAAAAAAAAACAAAAAAATAAAAATGTAAAAAAAATGTTTAAAAATTTAATTTTTGGTTATAAACTAATTTGGATTTTTTTTTTTACAAAAAAAGATAACGGAATAAATTTTGGCTAAGATTTATGATGAAATATTATTTGCAAAATTTTATAAAAAAAAAAAAAAACAAAAACACTTTCAAAATTTTTGGACATTTCATTTACATAGCAAAAAAAATACAAATCCCAGTGGTGAATAAATACCACCAAAATAAAGCTTTATCTGTCTCAAAAAAATGGTAAAAAATTATTTGGGTACAATGTTGCATGACCGCGCAATTGTCATTCAAAGTGGGATAGCGCTAAAAGCTGAAAATTGCCCTGGTCAGGAAAAGGGTAAAAGTGTCCAGTCTGGAAGTGGTTAACCACTTGCCTACCAGGCACTTATACCCCCTTATTTACCAGGCCAATTTTCAGCTTTCAGCGCTGCCGCACTTTGATTGACAATTGCGCGGTCATGCAACATTGTACCCATATGAAATTTTGATCATTTTTTTCTCACAAATAGAGCTTTCTTTTGGTGGTATTTAATTGCCACTGGGCGCTTTACTTTTTGAGCTATAAATATAAAAAGTGCAAAAAATTTGAAAAAAAAAAAAAGTTTTTGTTTCTATTATAAAATTTTTCAAACAGGTAATTTTTCTCCTTCACTGATGTGCGTTGATGAGGCGGCACTGATAGGCAGCACTAAAGGGCACTGATAGGCAGTAATAATGAGGCGGCACTAATACGCAGCACTGATAGGTGACACTGATGATAGGTACTGATAGACGGCACTGACTGGCATCACTGCTGGGCACTGACTGGCACAACCCCTGGGCACTGACTGGCAGCACTGGTGGGTGGCACAGGTGGGTGGGCACTTCTGGGCACAGGTGTGTGACACTGCAGCGTGGCACAGGTGGGGTGCATTGCTGGGCACAGGTGGGCGGAGCTAGTGGGCGCACTGCTGGGCACAGGTGGGCGGAGCTTGTGCGTGGCACTGCTGGGCACCGATCATCAGGGCACTGATCATCAGTGCCGATCCCCGCTCTGACAACTGCCGGTTCTCGGCAGTACTTTCCTCACGATCTGACAGCGTGAGGAAAGTGCAGCCGAGAACCGGCACTTGCATTTTCCTCTGATCAGCGTGTCATTGGACACCGCTGATCACGTGGTAAAAGGCCGCTGTGATTGGCCTTTTACCACATCACGTGATCAGCTGTGTCCGTAGGACACAGCGATCACGGAGATCGCCGGGTGCGCGTTCTGGGAGGACGTCATATGACGTCCACCCAGAACTGGCCGGCCGCAGTGCAGCCGTCATTCGGCTATCTGCGGTCGGCAGGTAGTTAAAGTGCAAATCTATCAGAAGTGATGGCGCAAAATTAGACTCACTTCTGAATAGAAACCAATCGTATGAAGAAGGGACCCCTTCAAAACGCATCACTTTGAGAGTCTACCCTCGTGATGTGACTCGCACTGGTTCTACTCTCCCAAGTTCCTCTGAGGACCTTTAATGCTGGTTATACTTCATTTGTATTATTCTTTATTCAATAAAATCAGTTTTAATGCGGCAATGCGCAATGTTGGTGCGCTTTTTGTTACACGATCGGTCGGGATTCCCCTGCCTTGTGCTAGAGGCTTCACAACCTTCCATGCATTGGTGGTTGCAATTTCTCAAAGTTTTTCAAGGTTCCCTTTCATCCTTCCACCCCTATTCTGATTGCTAGAGCGCAGGAGGTGTTATTTCTGTCTTCAGAAACCAATCAGATTCTAACTTAGACTTCTGCATAAAAACCAATCCGCTTCCAGGTTTTATTGCCAAAGTGAGCCTGATTTTGCACTCTCCAGCTTTAGTAAATAAACCCCAATGTGGAAGCAGGGGCTCCCATGTACATGTTTGCAAATGACTAAACGTTTCTGTTGTATGAATATGTGCAGATTCCAACTCCTCTCATTGTTCACTTAGGACCCAGTCAGCAATCGCTGGTACCAAATGGGAATAGTCTCCTGGGGTGAAGGCTGCGACCGTGATGACAAGTTTGGCTTCTACACACATGTGCACCGTTTGCGGAAATGGATTATGAAGATTATAGAGCAATGTGCCTCTTCTGAGAGCGGGCATATATAAGTTAAATCTCCCAGCATCCTTTACTGAACTGTGTAAGAATACCACTGATCTACAGTGCACCACCCTCTGCCTTCTCAGCATGTTGCAGCTCAACATAGTATATCTGTGCATATCAATAAAGTGATTTAAAACACACTCCCTCAAAGATGATGTTCCATCTCCATGATCTAGGAATCACACAACTGTGCTTTGCTAGTCGAACAGGGAATTATGGGAAAATGTCAGTTCCATAGCTTCTAAATCCACCAACTTCTAATTGGTTTAAATCAAAAATCTGACCATAGACACACACTAACAAAAAAAAAAAAAATTTTATATATATATATATATATATATATATATATATATATATATATATATATATATATATATATATATATAATAAAAATAGGCTGACCAAAGAAAAAAAAAAAAAAACCACTCACAGATTCCTCCATTCACACAAACAAGATGGATAGATGACTTTCTGCTGCTGGGATGTTGTAATCTAACAGTGGGACCCAGTGCTGTCAGAAAACACTGATCAGTGACTGCAACCACTGATCAAGAATTTTCCTGCATGTCCCCTTCAACAGGAGTCACATGATCAACTTCTGCTGCGCAGGAATAGGCAAGCATTGATTGATCGAACATCAGCTGGTTCAGCAGGGACCAGATGAATGTCATTCTATATGGCCAGCTTAATGCTAGGTTCACACCTATGCAGATTGCATTTGAAACATTTCTGCAGTGCATTTTGGACCTGAGTTTCCGCATTTTGCAAGGTTTTGTTTCTTTTTTTTGTTGCAGCTAGGCAGAATTAAAAACACATCAAAAAAGCAATACATGCTTTTTCTGCAGCGTTTCCATTGAAGTCTGCATTTCTATTGAAGTATAGTGCGTTTCTATTGAAGTCTAGTGCGTTTCTATTGAAGTATAGTGCGTTTCTATTGAAGTATAGTGCGTTTCTATTGAAGTATAGTGCGTTTCTGCAAACCTAGGGTAAGGCTTTGCAAGGATGTTAATCATCAGTCTGCTTTAGCCAAATCTAAAGGTGCCCCTTTTCTACAAGCTCCACCCCCTAGGATATGTCAGTAAAAAGTGATGCTAGAAATTAGCTTTTGGGAGCAGTCTTGTAATATAGCAAAACATCAAGCTTCTGTGCAAAACTATTTTAATGTGCTCCGTCTTGGAGGAGAGCTTCCCTGCCACCCCCCATTTATACTTACCTAAGTGGATGCACCATTGGTCCAATGCGGCATTTGTCCCCCCCTGCTGATTCTAAGGGTGAGAACTCAGCGATCACCTGACCATTGAGTTCTCACTGCTGCTCTCAGCAGAGTGATGACTGTCAGTCACCGCTCTCTGCTGCCTGTGCTCACTGGAGCGCTGGGCTGTGGAGGGGGGAGGGAGCAGCTGCTGGCTCAGTCTCCCAGTGCTTCGCTGAGAGGATGAGCCAGGTACCGCTACAGACTCTAAAGTTGAGGATCCACCCCAAAGTCAGGGTCTTTCCCCATCCTGGACGGCTGAGTGACGTCAGCGGGCTTCAGTTCCCTGTCGGCTGAAAAAACAGGTCACAATAGTGCAGAGTGATGTGTGTGATCCACAGAAGTACAGCCAAATGAGCTTTGGCTGTACTTCTCCTTTAAGCTCCTGAAACTTAAAAAGTCCCATTCACACCTCTCCAGTCAAGTGCACAAATGTACATTTTGACCCCATAAGCACTAAGGCAACAGCTCCAATGCACAGGTGTTGCAGCACCACAATACATGGTAATGCTACTGTGCATTGTGCTTTAAAAAAAAAAAAAAAAAAAAGTGGTGCGTGTCCTATTTTGGACATTTGGGTGGATATTACGCCGTCTAACAAAATGCACCAGCACACAAGAAGCGTGAATGAGCCTTTAAAAATAAATGCCTTTATCCACAACAAAATATAACTAGAATGGAGATGGATTAGAATACCTGACAGGTTTGTATTGCTATCTCTGCCTATTAGGGAGATTTTCTCTCCATTTGTCCTGTTTGCCATCATCATTGAAAGTAAATCCCAAATTTTGGGTCATCCCCAGAATAGTAATCTACCACTAGGTACACTAGTTCTGGGGACCTTACCCCCCAAGAGATGCCCTTAATTTTCAGGGATTTCCTCACTTCCTGTTTTGACATGGTGGCTGCATTTTGTGGTAGGCTTTTCTCCCTCTGTTTTAACCTGGTGATCAGCTGAGTGACCCAATGCTGGATGAAAGAGCACAGGGGGCACATTTGGACAGCAGCATTGCCAGTCTGGGGGGAGGGAAACATTAGATACACAAACAATTGAAGCCAGACTCCAGCTCACACTTTATAAGCAGTTACAGCAACATTTTTTCCCCCCTCTTTGGGATAAAAGGTTTTACATAAACTTTGATCATTGTAAGGACCCCCATCAGTGTTAAGTGGATTGTGTCATCTGATACATCTGCAAGAGAGCTTGTTCTATTATCTGATGATGCACCCAAGTCTCATTTTAATTGAAGAAAAACAAAAAAAAAAAAACAAAAACTAATGCAGCCATCACATCTAAGAATTGGTGGTAAGCTGCAATATATCAAAAGGTTTGCTTTTGGATTTATTACCACTTTAAATGAAGAAAAGATCAAACCCAAAACTTACCGTATGACAGTTTTAAGAGGTGAAACTATCTAGTTGAAACAAGTAAATGTAAATCCTGAGCCTGCCTTCATTGGAGGTCCTGGATTGTAGGATGTCAAAACCATCAATGCTAAATTCAGCAAAAGACCAGACACATCAAGGGAATTTATCAAAATGGGAGCAGCTGTGCATGGCAACCAATCAGCTTCTGTTATCAAAAATAACGGGAACACAGAAACTGCACCAGCTTCTATAGGGGAGCAGATCAGGATATGCTGGGAGAGCTCATCACCCATTGCTGCTACTCTATAAAGGTCCAGAGATGAAAGATGTTGAGACATTTGCAGGCCAAAATGTTTGCTAAAGTACTGGAATCCCATGAAACACTCCGATAGAGAAACCTTGCACTACAATTCCTAGAAGTATATGGCTTTCTATAACAAATACAAACAACCTCAAATCATATTGTCCTTAACATGTTAAGATGTATTCACAGTGACCTCCAAAAAAAAAAAAAAAAAAAAAAAAAAAAAAAAAAAGGTAGGAAACAGAAGAGCATGCTGGGTAGTGGCTTCTAAGTTAAAGCAGTATTAAACCCAAAATGTTAATGTATTGCAGCTTGCCAATCAGATGGTGGCTGCATCAATCTGCTTACATTTGGCTTCCCCCCCCCCCCCCCCCACTAAATTGCTAAAAGTATTGGTCGGCCAGCCTTTACACGTACATGAATTTTAATGGCATCTCAGTCTTAGTCCGTAGGGTTCAATACTGAATTGGCCCCGCCCTTTGCAGCTATAACAGCTTCAACTCTTCTGGGAAGGCCGTCCACAAGGTTTAGGAGGGTGTCTATGGGAAGGTTTGACCATTCTTCCAGAAGCACATTTGTGAGGTCAGGCACTGATGTCGGATGAGAAGGCCTGGCTCACAGTCTCCGCTCTAATTCATCCCAAAGGGGTTCTGTCAGGTTGAGGTCAGGACTCTGCAGGTCAGTCAAGTTCCTCCACCCCAAACTCGCTCATCCATGTCTTTATGGACCTTTCTTTGTGCACTGGTGTGCAGTCATGTTGGAACAGGAAGGGGCCATCCCCAAACTGTTTCCACAAAGTTGGGAGCATGAAATTGTCCAAAATCTCTTGGTATGCTGACGCCTTAAGAATTCCCTTCACTGGAAGGGGCCAAGCCCAACCCCTGAAAAACAACCCTACACCATAATCCCCCTCCACCAAACTTGGCACAATGCAGTCAGGCAAGTACTGTTCTCCTAGCAACCGCCAAACCCAGACAAGTCCATCAGATTGCCAGACAGAGAAGCACGATTCATCACTCCAGAGAACACGTCTCCACTGCACTAGAGTCCAGTGGTGTCATGCTTTACACCACTGCATCTGATGTTTTGCATTGCACTTGGTGATGTAAGGCTTGGATGCAGCTGCTCGGCCATGGAAACCTATTCCATGAAGCTCTCTACACACTGTTGTTGGGCTCATCTGAAGGCCACACCAAGTTTGGAGGTCTTTAGATATTGACTCTGCAGACAGCGTTTCTGCACATTGTGCGCTGACCCCGCTCTGTCATTGCTGTTGTTCCCAGTGCTTCCACTTTGTTATAATCCCACTAACAGTTGACTGTCGGAATATTTAGTAGCCAGGAAATGTCACGGATGGACTTATTGCACAGGTGGCAACTTATCACAGTACCACGCTTGGAGTCACTGATCTCCTGAGAGAAACCCATTCTTTCACAAATGTTTGTAGAAGCAGTCTGCATGCCTTGGGGCTTGATTTTATACACCTGTGGCCATGGAGGGGATTAGAACGCCTGAATCCAATGATTTGGAGGGGGGGCAAAACTTAAGGCAATATAGTGTACATACAATGCATTCATAAAGTATACAGTGGGTTAAATTCATTTTTGTCTTCAATCTACACTCCGTACCCCATGACAACAAAGTGAAACATTTTAGAAATTTTTGCAAGTTTATGAAAAAAAGAAAAACCTGAGATATCACATCGTCATGAAATTTAGCTCAGGTGCCTCCTGTTTCTCTTGACCATTGCCAGATGTTTCTACACCTTGATTGGCGTCCACCTGTGGTAAATTCAATTGATTGGACAGGATTTGGAAGGGCACACACCTCTCTATAAATGGCCTCACAGCTAACAATGCATACTGTATCAGAGCAAATGCCATGAAGACAAAGATCTGGGGAAGGCCAAAAAAAAAAAACAAAAAAAAAAAAAAAACACATTCTGCTGCACTGAAGGTTCCCAAGAGCACAGTGGCCTCCATAATTCACAAAATTCAAAATGGAAGACGTTTGGAACAACCAGGACTTTTCCCAAGAGCTGGTTGCCCAGCCAAACTGAGCCTTTTAGAGAGAAGGACCTC